TCAGAACTTCATAATATAAAATATTGTCTCCTAAAAGTCTTTAAAAACATGTTTCTTCAAATGAGCAAATCTCTGAAAATGGTAAAATCCTTGTAAATAGGGCTATTTCAAATATTATAATGCACATAATCTATGTTTACCATCATTGCCCAGAAAGATCAGGGAACACTGAGAAGTATACTTCAAGAGCCTTACGAAAAGCATTGTTCAAAGCCTTAAACTAATTGCTGTATTTATTATCACCACCTATATTTGCCTGAGTCACAATTAAAAAAAAATACATCATCACAAAAAAAGTCTTTAAAAGTTGGTAGAGCTGAGGGATAGAACTGAAATGACATGTTTTCAAAAACTTCAGCGTCTCTGAGAACCTTGGGAAATGCCAAGGCTTGATTAACTCACAAATACAATAAACATTTTAAAACTTTATTTGTGATAAGGCTTTAAAAAAATAAGAGAGAAGGTATGGTAGATAAGAATAACTTTGGAGTTACTTTCAAACTACAAAGACTCATGAACCACCCTACCCCCTCAAAAGCCATGGGGCATTCCTGTTAATCTTTTTGCTACAAGACTGCTGCTGATAGATCACATTTCTCAGGTGTGTTTAGAAGTTGAGAAATACTGGTAAACTGAGTTCCAGACTCCCTACACTCAGCAATAATATTAAAGATAAATCTCTTGAACTAAATTCATTTGTGAAGACCTCTTCTGCAGATGCCAGACTGGTTCATATAGGCGTGAACAAGTGTTTCACCTTTCATACTTTTTTGAAACAACAAGAAATTCACCATATTTTCAAGTATTCATAAAGAACATACTGTGAGTCAACAGGACTAGTACAGTGTTAACACCAAGACAGCAGGGATCATAGGTTGCTGGTAAATTTGGTCACTGGTACTTGAAAAGACCCACCCCCAACACCATTATCTAGGTTCATGAACCAGCTATCAAAGAGGTCCAAACTTAACCCATGCTATTATTCTGAAGGATTATCAAGTTTCTTTTCAAATAGGAAAAATATGCAAAACTTGGCCCTTCCATTGAATCTCTTTGTCTCAACCTTTCAAAAAAGCATTACTATCACTGTGTCTTCCTGGGTCTTTTTAAATAAACACTTAGGAAAGACCTACCTCAGTAATACACAGTATATTCTTTTTCCTATAAAGCCATTCGAGGACTGAAGACACCTGTTATTCTCCTTCACATCTCAGATTATGTCTCTGTGGCAACAATGGTAGCGAGTACCATCTACACCTAAAGGAGGACTACCTTCTCTCTGATCTAGCCATGTTTACCTGATGTGTTTCTGTGCTCAAGTCAGGTTTTATTTTTCTACTTTCAAAACAAAATAACTAACAATGAATACAACTGGACTCTGCTTTTAATGGCCATAAACTTACAGGATTCTTAAATGCATAATTCATAGAACCATAAAATAACTGAAGCTACATACATAGTCCTAAATATCAGGTTTAAAATCCTAAGTACAAAGACAGTTTATTTGCCAAATCCACCGAGAAACTAGAAGCAACTTAACAGCTGTCTAAATAACCACAAAAATATTAAGAACACTTCTGGCTCAATATAAATGACATCTGAAGTGAAATGCTGCCTTCTCCAACAGAATCTCATTTGTTTGCCTAGAACCATTTATACTTCATTTAAGCCAGCTGGTGTCTCTGTTTGCAGGCATGCATCAATGTCTACTGAACAATCTAAGTTCCTGTAAACCCTTTCCCATTCACAAGCTGCAATTTCCATTTTTAATGGCAAGTTTCCAGCAAATATAATGAGTTCCTACAATGGAATTTAACTCTTCATCCAAAACCCAATTCCTATGGTGGACTATATAGCACTGGTAACAAGACACAATGTGTACAAAAGTACCAAACTCTCAAACAGGGAAGGCATCCACAGAAGTGGATCCACATTCACCATTCATTCACTCACTTACTACATAATTATGAAAAACATGTGCTGGATTTAACTGACAGTCTCTTGTAATGCTGCATAAAATTTTGGTTTTATTAAAATAATTTTGTTCTTCAGAATGATGATCTTTTGGCTAATGGTAATATTCTGAGATGTTTCAAAAACAAATTGAGAAGGATAAAAACCTTTTAATCTGTTTTCAACTAACTTACCAGAATGAGTGCTGACACAGCTGCTTCGAGGCATTCATTTCTCCAACCATAGTCAATGCTCCCCCCTCCACCCCCCCTACACACCTCCACTCATCATTCACTTTCCCTTTTTCTTTTCCACATCCATGGGTATTATAAACTGCTGACACCAGGGATAGGCAAACTTTTTCTGTAAAAGACCAGTCAATAAATATTTGAGCTTTGAGAAATTTTCTGTCACAACTACTCAACTCTGTTGTTGTAGCCTGCAATAGACAACACTTAAAAAAATAAAATAAAATAAAAAAGAATGGGTATGGCTGAGTCCCAACAAAACTTTATTTGCCAACCCTTTTCTTTTTCCTGGTAAAAAGTTGCAACAATTTAAAAAAATATTGATTCAAATAAGAGGCATCAAGTCAAACTTTGGAATCACCTTCCTGGGATGACTAAAATAAACTAGGGTCTAAAATAAACTAGGGTCTAAAACAGATGTCTACGTTCCTGAATCTACTAGTTAAGCCATAACATGGCTTCGTCTACACATCAGAAGACACTATATAAGTATCCAGAGAAGAACAATGATAATAATAATAAATTATATACACGCTCTGAAAAATATTTTAATTCAGGACTCTAGTTCTAAATTGTTTAAATTACATTTGAACTCACAGAAATGAAAGGAAAACAAAAGAGTTTCCGCAGTTCCAATCTCAATTTGGTAAGTCACTTTCCATTTACAACCCTGGATACTTATTTTAGCTAAGGATATAAGGTAATCACTTTTGTAAAGTTTAAGAATAACCACTGTTTAAACATGAATCTAAAAATTAGGTGACTGGAAAAATTATTTTCAAGCTTAGTGACATGAAAACTGGGAAGCTCTCTGATAACCTGCACAACACTGCAGCTCCCATTATGACATTATAACAAAAACCGTAGGAAGCATGCCCAAAAGTGGCTGTGTAAACACAATGTCAAATTACATGTAAAATGTCATTCAAAATTAGTTTAAAAAGGAAATTTTAGCAATTCAAAACTTTTAACAATTTTAGCTTTTCAAGTAAACTTTTCATGTTAATATTCAAATTAGTTTTAAGAGCTAAATAACTTTTAACAAATTCAATAAAAATCAATAATGGTGTGATTTTAAGAGTTCAGGATATATCAAACTTCCCAGAACAGATGTCAAAAACTCTCTGAAGAACAGACACAGCAATAATTTGAAAAATGTGAATTTGAATCAGTAGGCTTAAACAATTCTTTTACTACCCGCTTAACTGAAATTTGAGACAATGTGAAGTCAATTGCATTAGCCAATGCTACAAATATATCAATGAAATGACAAATCTGCAAAGGATTACAATTCTTTCTGAATAAATTCCCTTTAAAGTGAGGACAAACGTTATAACCTCTGGCAGGGTTACCATATATGCTCAAGTCTATTTTAGCATTGAGATATACTTTAACTCCCAAACCTAACACTGTATTAATTCACACGGTGGACTGAAATTTATTGCTGGTTAGCTCGAGCTATTTTTAAGTGTCCTAATTAGTTAAGTACAGATTCCATGGTATCATTTCAATTTTCAATGATACCATTTTACTAAAACGACAGACTCGATACAACTTTATCATAGTATATCCTTAACTTAGATCAAATATTTAATAGAAAAGAAAGGTAGTCCCATATATTTGGGGAAGGATACTTAAAAATTTCACCTGAAAAAGTCATAAAACTAAATTAAGTCAATTCCAAATAGAAGTTACCAAATAGAGTGGTATATATTGCCCAGATTTTTTTTTTAAGCTAGGGATAACAAAACATCTAAATCAAGCTATGAAAAGGCTTTGTCTACAGGTCATATTATTACCAAAGGCTCACACACAAAGGAAACAGATTTATCTATCCTACCAGTCCACAAAAGCCTATCCTAAGATTGTGCCAGGGGCACACAAGGATTTTCAAAGTACATACGCTGGGCATACACATGCAGTACAAAGCAGCCAAAAGGTATTTCCCCATAGTCACTTTTAGAAAATGTTTCAAGAGGAAAAGCAAAAATAGTCTGAAGTCCCTTGGAATCTTGGGTTAATTTCTTTATTATTCTCAAGGCCTAGGCTTTCTCCCAACATACTTTGTTGGGCAGAAATAAAGCACTTCCAACTAAAAGTAACTGCTCAACCCCAATTTTCAACAGAATTTGCTTTTCGTTAAAAGTTCAAGTTTCTCAAGGTCCAGACGTATAGCGTGATCGTATTACAGGACTCGGGAAGAGCATTTTCTTTGTTGTTGACCCTGCTAGGGAAACAGGTCTTGACTCAGCCAAAGTGGCGTTCTTGTGGGTGATTAATGACAGGCCTAGATCTCGCCCCAGTGACATCCATCCACACCCCCCACCCCCCTCTGTACTAAAATCAGCCATGTCTGAACTGGAGGAGGGGCTGCCGCCTCGCCTCAAACCACCCTCCCAGAGTTAATAGCTGCAACCAATCGATTCGGGAGACAGACATCGATATTCGAGTGAAATGTGACCCTTCTCTCGCCTAAATTTATGAATAATATCGCCCTCTCTGATCATTTCCGCTGGGGCTCTCCCGACTACGGAAACACTCAATTCCAGTCATTCGGCGGCCCAAAGAAAAGGATCGTCCTCTTCCCCACAGTACCCGGCAAGGCACAGCCCCTACCCACCCCACCTCCCGACCCCCGCCTCCTTCACATCAAGACATTTCTATTGTGTCTCCGAGGCTGGAGGAGCTACTTTGCTAACAACAGGGACGGGTCCGGCACCCCCACCCTTGCGGCCGCATCCGGCGCCCCGAAACCCCCGTTCTTTCGCCCACCCCCGAGGCCGCGGGGCCGAGTCCCACCTGTGGTGAGGCGGGAGGAGACGTCGCCGAAGGGTGACGGCTCCATTCGGAGATACTTCTGCGGTGAGGCGGCGGCGGCCGAGAAGGAGGCGGCGGTGGCCGCGGCCGCGGCCGACGGGGAGGAGGCGGCCGAGGTGGGCGCCGACAATGGCGCACATCGTCTCCGCTTCGGGGACGCCGGGCTCAGAAGCGGGTCGAAATCCAGAGTCCTTTTCAGAGTGGCTCCGCACGCCATGGCCGGGGCAGAGCTGAGGTGCCGGGCTCGGGTGGGGTCGGGAGGGAAGGACGAGGGAAAGGGGGAGAGCGGGGACTCGAGGAGAGCCTAACCGACGGGCTCAAGAGCAGAAAGGCGAGTGGCGGAGCGCCGGTGAGGAGAGGAGAGCCGCCTCCGCTGCCTCCGCGGCAGGGGCAGTGGCCCGGGCCGGTGCGGGCGTGAGCGGGAGGGGCGGTGTCAGCAGCTCACGCCAGCCGCATCGGGGGGGCTCTTCCGCCTCCTTAGGCGCGGATCCCCCCGGGAGAAGCTCCGGCCGCCCCCGCCGTCCGTTCGAGCTTTGCGCCGTGCCTGAGGCGCCCCTGCGCTGAGACCGGCACCCTTCGAAGTCGATACCAGCCCTGTGAGGTGTGAGGCTGGAACGCGACTCCCAAATCAGTCGAGTAGAGTACGAAGCTTGAGGGCGGCGGTCGATGAGGAGAGATTGTAAGGCGGCAGCGGCGTCAGGAGCTCAAGCGAACACGTCCAGTCACTTCCCCCTCCACCGCACCACTCTTCCACCCGCCGCCGGCCCCAATATGGCGTCAATAACAACGCCGCCGATTCAAATCCTGCGGCGTCAGAGCGCGTGCGCATACGGGTGGACAACCCGCCCCCAAGCGTGCATTCTGGGAGTTGTAGGTTTTCACTGTGGAGAGGAATCCGCGTGAAAAGCGGTTAGGAAAGAGTCACGGAAACTACGACTCCCGTCATTCAAGACGTGAGATTCCGAGTTCCGGGTTGGAATTTAAATCCCCCTACACGGGTTGAGTGTAAAAGGAACTAAGCAAAAGAGAAAAAAAGAAAAGGGTATGAGAGTGGTAAAGAGGAAAGCAAGGGAACCGGTAGGGTGGGGAAAGCAGGCTTAAAAGACCTTTAAAATTGAGGACATAGTTGTTCTGATACCGCTCCCACAGTGATTTAACAACCGGGAAACAGGAAACTAAGTCAACCTAACAGTGCAAGACAGATTAATTTCCGTAATACGAGTGCCAAAAACAAAACCTGTCACATCGAGGGGCTAGGAAATAATAATATTGATTATGGAACCTACTTAAAACTGCTTGAGAGAACAACAGTAATAGTATCAGATGACAGGATCCTTGATTGAATTCGAAGCTTTGACCTTCCCACGTAGCTGCTTGTATCCATTTAGTAATTCTGCAAAGCCAGCTTTACCCCGTAAATAAATAGGATTTGAACGACGTACAAAACCAAATTGTTTTGATTTGAATAAAAAGCGAGTGATATCAGAAATTGTATTATCTCTGTTGAATATTGGTGTATACCTTGTGAACAATAAAAATTAAATCAACAGACATAATGAAATTAGGGAGTAGATATTGGACCCATTTTGTAAGCAGAGAACATTTTTTCCTAAAAATTGTACTTTTAACCAGGTACCTAAAATAAGAATCAAATACAGCATTAGTAAAAAAATGATTTATGTAATAAGCTGTCACCAGTCCAATACAAAACTGTCTATGTAAAAGCCATATTATCAAATATCATCATTATCAAATGACCATTTATATCAAATACTGGCTTCAATGCTTATTTGTTCCTGTCATTTATTCAGTAACTAAATAATTTTTTAACGGTTTTGCTTATTATTCTTTACACTATTTTTAGAGAGTAGTTCAACACTTTTTATTCTTGTTTTATAGAATTGTTCACCACCTCAAAGATCATCAGTTCTGATCACAATGTTTGTGTCAATAACTAAGCTGTACTAATTCTAAGATATTATACTGTTTAGAAAATACCTTTTGAAAAGCATCAATATTTAATGAAACAGCAGCTTAACTAAGACACTTAATAGGTAAATTTTTACTAAATTCTAAACATTCCATGAAATCTATGATAAGGTGAAATTAGCAGAATGTATATATTTTTATGTAAATGAATAGGAAGGATAGGTTAACCCATGGAAAAGAAGTAGTAAAACATTTATGTGCCTGGTAAGTATTTTCTGAAATTAAGATTTCACCTTAAATTATAGAACTTACATAAGAAAGGGAGTGTTATGAGTTGGATTGTGCCTCCTCAAATTCATATGTTGAAGTCCTAACCCTAGGTATCTCAGAATGTGGCCATATTTGGAAATATGGTCATTTCAGATGTAATTAGTTAAGATAAGGTATTACTGGAAATCCAATATGACTGTTATACTTATAAAAGGGGAAAATTTGGACACAGACAGGCAGAACACTGTGACTACGAAGGCAGAAATCTAGGTGATGAGTCTACAAGCCAAGGAAAACCAAAGATTGGCAGCAAACCATTAGAAATTAGGAGAGAGGCATGGAACAGATTCTCCCTCATAGTCCCACAGAAAGAACCAACCCTGCTGATACCTCGATCTCAGAGCTCTAGTCTCCAGAACTGTGATAAACAATAAATGTGTTGTTTAAGCCATCTGATTTATGGTACTTTGTTATGTACGACGGCCCTAGAAAACTAATACAGGGAGTTGTGGTTAGCATGTGAGTTAGGCTGAATGGTCTGGAAAATAAGGGAAGAGTTGTATGTAAAGGTGGTAGGGAGTATCTGGTAAACTTGACATTTTAGCAATAATAGCTGCCCATTTGATCACCATTGCACAAAATATCTGCATAAGGCTCTCTGTTGTGACTAAACAGTGACAGCGCTGGGGCAGCCTCCCCTTCTACCAATGACTAAGGAGTCTGTTCAAAAGCTGAGAGGAGCAAGGGGAATCCATCTTCATTCCCCTGTGTCTTTGCTCAGGCTCTCTGCTCCACACTGACTACTTACCCTTTAAGACTCAACCCAGGCATTAGCTCCTATAGGAAGCCTTCCCCCAACACTTCAAGGCTGACTTAGCTTTATAGATTCAGAGAAAGAGACACCTATCTGTATGTCTTCATCATTACCCTCACCGCATTGTAATATAATTCTCTGTTCACGAATCTGCCTCTCCCACCAGTGTATTCAGCTCCTTGCCAATAGTATAGTACCACGCTCACTTCAACAAATACCCATTGAACATTTCTTAAACATTTTTAATCACCCTATCCTCCTAGTAACCCACATTATTCTTGTCCCTTAAGATAGGTATCTACTAAAATATTATAGCAACCCTTTTAAGGCAGAAGAAAGATATTGAATAAGAAAAAACTAAGGAAATATTTCTTAGACCAAAATTAAAAATAATACTTGAAAGCCCATAAATCTTCACATAGTTTAGAGGTAAGTTTTTATTTTGTTGATCAGGAGGAAAAGAAAACTATATTTAACACATTAATAAGTTGAATCAGATGACCTGAATCTAAATATATAGTACAGCTAATGGCTCCAGTGACCTACACAGACCAGAATTGGTCTTGTTGTGACTAAAAGGCCTATAACAAATTTTAAAGGCTTGAAATATTTAGAATAATTTGTGACAATCTAGCAAGTATTTTCTGATTTGTACAAATCTCTGAAGCCTCTGGAAAGAACCAAACTAGTATACCAAGATGCTGGGCTTTGCTTGGTCCTAGACTTTTCTAACACCTCTGAAAATACTCCTGAGGATCTGATTCAGATGAGTCATTCTTTGACTAAAGCCAGTAAAAGTAGACATAGCTGGATGACACAAAATCTCATCATCCTGAGCCTGAAAACCCTCTTCATACCATCAATCATTGTCAAACAGTTGTTCTGACGTCAGTTAAAGATAAATGAAAATATGTAAGGTATGGAGAGATGTTTCCTGACTTTGCATTCTAAGTTTAAATAATCATAGGTTCAGCATTAGGAACAGCAGTTCTAATTCAGGAGTTGCTTCAAATCTATATTCAGAACAAGCGTTGCCTCAAGGCAAAAAGAAATTGTTTAATCACTGTGTAAATGAGTGCGGTAGGGAGGACTAGACATTGTAATTCCTTCCACATAAGATTTTTGCAGGCTGGCCTGGAACCTCTTGTAAGCACCATATTTGGGAGACATACTATTTTCCATTGTAGATATGATGCTGGCTGATTTTACTTTGGTTTCATTATTTTAGATGTGGTCATTATTTTCAGTTGATTGGCTAAATCACAGAGTAATCAAAACTATATACCTGTGAGTGATTTCAAGAGGTCACCTAGTCTAGTCCCCAGCCTCAAGGCATGATTATCATGATACTCAAAACAAATCAGTATATATCTGACTTCCTAAAGAGTTTCATGGACAACATCCAAAATCCTGTTGTGAAAATGCAACTGCAAATTCTCTTATATCTAGCTTTAACCTCTTCTCCATCAGAGGCTGATTTCTAGTTGTATAGGCATACCTCAGAAATATTGCAAGTTCATTCAGACCACTGTAATAAAGCGAGTATCACAATAAAGCGAATCGTAATTTTTTGTTGGTGGAGGGTCTTGTCTTCCCTTTGTAAAAAACACTCCTGTGAAGCACAGCAAAGCAAAGCACAATAAAACGAGGTATGCCTGTATAGTGCTCTATAAAGAACAATGCACTCCAGGAAATAAGCCATGATTCATTTATTTTGAGGGACCTGGAAAGAAACCACAAGATGATCTCTGGGCAATTAAAATAAGTTTTTATGAATTCCTTAGTTTAAAATTTGAATACTTTTTTCAAGTTATGTACCCTCAAGTACCTGTGTCCTTACTGTGAAACTATTTACCCTTATTTTACAGAAAAGTCAACCATGTTTGGGATCTTATTTCCCAGCCCAAACCAATTAGAACAATCAAGTAGAAAGGTGGAGAAGGGAATTGAAGATGCTATACACTGACTACAACAAGCAATACAAAGAAAGAAGACTAACAAACATAAAATTAAAAAAGCACAACAGCCTTGAGCCACTGAAGTATCAGGACTATCAGCCCAGCTGCACCTGAGGCACCACTGTATTATTAAAGCCTCACATATTAATGGTAGGGTTGCCAGATTTAACAAATGAAAATATGACACCTAGTAAAATTTGAATTTCAGATACACAAGGAATAATTTGTTAGTACAAGTATGTCCCAGATATTGTGCCTGTGCTTATCTGAAATCCAGATTTTACTAGGTGTCCTGTATTTTATCTGGCAAATAAGACAGTGACCCCAAGTCATCGATAAAGCACAACCTATGTTTAGTATGCAATTCAAAACTGTGTAACCAATATAGTAGAAAATGTTCCATCGGTAGTATTTAACACAATTAAAACTTTCTGTTGTCTGAAAAGTTAATTTATCGGAAATGCTTTGAGCTATATATGTTCTATTCACTACAGAGTGCCAGACATAAACACTGGATGAATAGTGAAAAGTTTCACACATTATTCCCCAATGGTAGGACACCTCAAGTCCCTGCAGATTGTTCCTAACTGCTCCTGGTCATTTAGTTTTAGAATTCCTTCACACCTTCTACTGCAGGTGTCAGTTCTGTTGTCCAGCTTGAGTCCAAGCCTGGCTTAGAGGTAGAGTCACTGTCCATGCTGGAATCCCATTCCTGCTTGTGCCTCTTGTCCTGGGCTTCCATGATGACACAATGAACCTTCTCTGATAAGTCTTTTTGAAAGAATGAGACAACTCCTACACTTCCTTAATATTTTGGGCTTCCTC